AGCTGGATGAGAAGAACCTGAGCGGTGTTGGTCTTGTTCTTCCTTGAGAACGCTACGTAGGGGAAGCCAATTCATCCTATGAAAACCCGTAATATTTAGAATAGAAGAAAAGAATCAATCTAAACAAGGGAAATACCAGCAACATGGGAAGACGTGAATATAAGAGCTACAGAGTGTTTTGCATACATGTATGCTAAATGCTTTCCAGAACAACCGTGAGCGCCAATGGCCAGCCCCCTGCGTTTATACGCAACCAGGGCAGCCCCAAACGTACTCCAATTCATCAATTTCGGAGAGGGGATAAGAGGAGGGGAATAAATGACAAAAGGAAAATAAATAAAGCATGCGCAGAACGAAAAAGAAATATATAAAAAAAGACTCTAGTCCATCTGCGACCAGGCGGCCAGCCGCGTCTCCATCAGCTCGTTAAACCAGGCGGCGCGCTCCATGATGGGGGCGTGGCCCATGCCGTCGACGATGAGGCCGACGGCGGGCTTGATCATGCGGATGAGCTTCTCGCCATTGTTGGCGCCAATCATGCGGTCCTCGGTGCCGTGGAGGACGAGGATGCGGTCGCGGCCGACGGCGTCGGCCATGTCGCGCAGCTGCGACGCCGACTTGCGGTGGCCGACGACGGCGGCCAGCTGGCACAACAGGCCCTGCCGCGAAAAGACGTTGGGCGGGTAGTACTTGGTCATCTCCTCGGCCTGGTAGCGCTGGTAGTTGCTGCCGAAGCGGCGGTACGCGCCGCTTTCGCGGACGGTGCCGGCGCCGTCCAGGTCGAGGCCCTTTTCCAGCACTTCGGCCATGGACCCGGCCGAGAGCGGGGAGAGGTCGACGCCGCTGTCATTCGGCTTGAGCATGGTCGTGGAGGCGGCGGCGGCGGCGGGGGTGGAGGAGGAGGAGGAGGGTGAGGGCCCGCAGCGACGGGTAGTATGCGGCGAGGGCAGGCCGGCGGCCTCGTCCGGGGCGACGAGCCAGGCGCGGGGGAAGAGGCGGGTGGCGGTGTCGTGGATGATGCGCTCGAGGCCCTTGGGGCGGAGCAGGTGGAAGCGGTCGCAGAGGGTCTCGAGGACGGGCCGGTCGCTCTCGAGGGCGGCCGTGGTGCAGAGCAGGGTCAGGCTGCGGACGCGGTGCGGGTGCGCGCAGGCCAGCTCCTGCGCAATCATGCCGCCGAGGGACATGCCGACGACGTGACAAGACCGCGGCGCGGTCCAGCCGATCTGGTCCAGCACCTCGACCACGTCAGCCGCCATCTCCGTCGTTGTGTACCGCGCCAGCGGCTTGTCGCTACTGCCCACGCCGCGGTTGTCGAGGAGGAGCATCGTGTACTTGTCGGCGTGGTCGTGGCCAAAGTAGCACGTCTGCCGTTGCCATGCGTTCATGCTGGCGGCGAGGCCCATGATGAGCTGTGAAGAGGGAAGATTTCATGTTAGCACGGTCCGCAACCCAATCATCACCACCCGCGCTTTTGAATGTATTTCTTCTTCAAAGGCGCGCCCTGTCAAGAGTCTTTCCACATACCACAATCTTGATAGGTCCATGGCCGTGCATCTGCCAGGAAATGTCAATCGGCCCCGAGCGGTCCTTGGCGACGGACGCCTTGCCTTGGCTGTCCGGTATGAGATCCCATTTGGCGCCGGGAAAGCCTGGGTGGTTGAGTGTCTCGTCCAGCGACGGGAAGCGAAAAGCACTGTACGGTGGAGGATAAGTCATTAGCACTGAGGGCTTTTTTTTTTCTCTTTTGTTAGCGTGTTGGCCAGCAAGATGTTTGTCGCCAGTCGCGTTTGTTTTTTGGTTTGCCGAGGCTAACACGGGAACAGCGCGGGTGATGGTGAGGGCGCTGCGGAAGAAAGAATGACAAGGGAAAGAAGGTGAAAGAAGGGGAAAAAAAAAAAGGGACAGCAAGGGTCATGCGATAAGTATGAGGGGGGTTTCAAGTGGTTTTTTGTCAACGTACTCCGAGGCCATGGTTATTCAGGACCCTTTCTTTTTTCTTGTCGTCGTTGTTCTAAGCCAAGGCACAAAGTCGGGAGTCGGAGGAGGCACGGCCGAGGTGAAAGGCAGGTTAACAAAATCCGGTTGGGGAACGGAAGGCCTATGGAGAGGGAATGAACCGCGGAGCTGTCGAGAGCCGAGAATGTGTTATGAATGGTACTTTTTTTTTGTGAAAGGGGAAAAAGAATCAAAGAGATGTACGGATACGGCCCACGAGTTCAAGAAGAGAAGAGCCGTTTGCTTTTGGGGTAAGTTAGATGCAGGCAACAAGGGGGGGTGCTAGGGTGACTATTTTCCGCCGCCACTTGTTGTCTCTTGTTTCTGTTGTGTGTCTTGTCTTTTGGTACCCCCGCACAATTGAAAAAGAGAACTAGGACCTTTCTTATCTTTTTGACCTGTCCGCTTCGCTAGGTTATTATAGGTAGGTAGCGAACACACACAACTTATGCACAGATACAAGATACAAGATCGGTGCGGATTCTACTACATCTACTTATTTGCTCGTCCTCCTCTTCTCCTCACACTCCTTTTTTGGACCGCCCGTTTCAAAGGTCAAAGAAATGGGACAAGTACAAATCTGGGGTTCACCGTTCAGCCATCATCAACCGGGGTTCGTCGTAGGGGCGGGCGCCGGCAGCCGGGGGTGTTATGACCTCTTACATAGGTAGGTATTACCTACCATTCGCTAATAAACCGTAACTACCTACCTAGGTAGTCATCTCTTACTTGTTTCATTCTCAAGGGAAACAACGGCAGACTTCTTTTCTAATCAACCTCAATCACCCTCTAACTAGGTAGTTAGTTAGTTCCCCTTTTCTGGTTTCAACCTGCGTATCACCCACGACTCGCCGTAATTCGGCCCAGCTCGGCACCAAACTTACGGGAACGGCGTCCGGCTTTGGCCTTTCCGGCCCCGGTACCTCCAATTCTCCAACGCTTCCTCGGCTAGTATTCGGGGCTTTGCCACTGGGAATGCTTGGGGTTTATTTTTGGACCCCATGGCGCACACATCTGTAAATACCCGTCGCGATTGTAATTTTACAACTTCGAGGATACATGCGAATCCTCTACAGCTCATTTATTCTCCTAATGCCCTGGTAGTCGGCAACCTATGCATCTGTCTGGTTCCCCTCACTAACCTCAGCTTCTCCACAGCCTGAGCCACCATTCCCAAGAACGGCCCCTCACCCAAATTCACCTAACCCGCCCCCGTTTTACTTCGGCTACCACTTTTCGTCTGTTCTCACAGCCCTTATTTGCCTCGGCAGCGAGGTCATACGAAAGTAGCCCGTCATTTACATTGCTACCCTTTTCTCTGCCTCATCCCCGCCTACAAACGGCCATGTACCCGCAGTCCAACGTCATCTTTCGCCTGCTAGACGGCGCTGCTGCACCTCGCCCAGCGCGCTGTTGCCGCTCAGGAACGCGACCACGCCCACGATGGCAATGGCCGGCAGGGTCTGGAAAAGGTTCCAGCTGCTGTAGTACAAGAAGAACACGCCCTCCATCGCCACAATGGAGCCGTAGAAGACGGCGTGCGAGACGGGTGCCGCGCTGAGCGCCTTGCCAGCATGGTTGAGGTTGGCACCGAGGACAAGCCACTATCAAGGACGAGCGTCTGTTAGCAAAGTAATGGCATAACAACACTCGGCCGCAACTTTTCCACTTACGCTGATGAACAAGATTGGGATGGCTGCCAAAACAGCAGCCGCAAAGGCGAGCGAGACAATCTTGGGCGGGTTCTTGGGGTCGCCGCGGAAGATGTGGTGGATCTCAGGACGCTTGCCGTATCGCAGAGGCGCCTCGTAGGTGTTGACGCTGCTGGGGTCGCGCACAACATTAATGTCAAACACCGATGCCACAATGGCCTTGGACGCGCCAAAGGAGCCCAGAACAACCTTGGCTTCTAGAGGCGCGGCCGAGTTGAGGAGTTGGACGGGGAGGTCCTTTTGCGTCTGCGACTGGTCAGCATTTCCGTGCTCGCGTCGTTCTAATCTTCATCGTAGACGTTTCCATACCAGCTTCACGCTGCCCTTGCCTGATTCCTTGATCGTGAGGGGGAACGGCGCCTCGAGCCCAGAAGTTGTTTCGCGGAGGACGAGGAAGGCCTGATGCGGGCGCTTCGCCGTGCCGCCCTCTTCCGCCGTGAGGGACAGCTTCAGGGTACTGGTGTGGCCCAGGTCGACCTGGTTCTTGGCTCGGGCTTTTAGAGTAAACCTATATCAGTAGAGTAAATGTCAGCGCTCGCATTCAAGGTCAATTGATGGGCCGCCAAAAGCCTTCTTATGGCGCCAACTGGCGGTTTCGTACTTTTCAGTGACGGGCTCGCCGCCCTTGGCAGCGAAAGTCACGGAGCCGTCTGCAAAGCCCCATTGTTTGGCGGCAGAGGCAGCGCTGGAAAGCGCTAGTAGCGTCGTGGCGAACAAGAGGCGCATCGTGTAAAGGGCCTGTGTTTGGTTGTCGTGTCTGTTTGTCGAGACGTGAAGCTCGAAGAGGCCACACAGCAGCTCCCTGGTGGAAGCTCCCCAAACTGGTTACGTGGTTGCTGCCGGCCTCCTGTGATTGGCTGGCCGCCCCACCAGCCAGCTACCAGACAAGTGAATAGCTAGGTATCAAAGCAAGAGCATAATAGCTGGAAAAATAGCGAAAGGTAATACATTGAGATTATGTGTCTTTCGTGTTCATTTGCACCTTTTTCCTATTTCTAAAGATGGCTTTACATAGTGCAAGGTGTATGTAAAGTCTGCAATCAAAACGCCAACCGGATGCATCAGAGTAGCCCTCAAACAAGGTCTTCTCCCCAAAACAAGAATGAACAGAAATTCCGCCAAAATTACAGATCGGTGCGCTCCTTCGTGGGCACTGCGTCCGTATTGGACCTCTTGTTTCTCTTCGGCACGAGCTGCGGCAGCGTCCCCGTCAGATCCAGCCACTCGGCCGCAAACGCCGTGACAATCCTGGCCCAGTCGCGGGTGGTGGGCATGTGGAGGTGCGCACCGTCGTCGTTAAGCGTGTGCCAGACATGCGGGAACGGCGACGGGATAAGGTGGAGGATGTCGACGCCGCGCTGCATAAACGGGACGTGGTCGTCCTGCACGGTGCCGGCACCGAAGCCGCGGAACCGCTCGGCCGTCTTGTCGGCCTCGGGTAGAAAAGGACGGCTGGCCTTGGCCTCGAGCAGGCCGAGGTCGCGCAGGCGCGTCTCGAGCAGCGCCATCTTGCGGTACGCCCAGTGCGTCGTCATAAAGTACGACGGGATCGAGGGCGCCTCGGCGCCGAGCAGGTCGAGCAGCACAAACAGGCTGATGGCGCTCAGCGATGTCCGGTACGTCGACATGCTGGCGCCGTGGAAGTCGTGCTCCCAGTGCGCCGCGAGGGCGCGCGCGCCGTACAGCGAGTCGTCGTCGGTCCACTGCACAAACGCCTCCTCGCCGTCGAGAAAGATGATTTGCAGGCCCGACGCCGGCTCTAGCGACGTGTCCGCCTCGCCGGCTGCCTCCATCGCCGCCCACTTAGTCTGCAGCGCCGCATCCAGGCTCCGCGCCGCGTGCAGCAGCATCGCGCACGGCGCCGCGCTGTCTGTCGCCCCGATGAAGCCTTCGGGTGTCAGCTTGCTGTCGTAGTGCGCCACCAGTGTCAGGCGTCCGACGTCGCCCGCCTTGGCCCACGGGGGGTCGCGCCGGAAGATGAGGTTGTTAAAGGGCACATCCCGGTCGCCCGTCGCCGGCGTCTTGGACGTCGAGTTGTGCCATATCTGCTCCCACCCGGGCAGGTTGGCCGTGAAAAAGTCCACCAGGTGCGCCTGCGCCTTGAGCTGGCCCGGCGTGCCGGGCACGCGCGGGATCAGGATGGGCGCCAGCAGCTTGCCGTCCTTGATGTCAAAGTCGGAGCCCGGCGAGGGAATGTTGCGCAGGTCATCGTCTGTGAGCGTCGTGCCGGCGATGGCGCTCGCAAAGGACGACAGCGTCCCAAAGGTCCAGAGGAGCGCTCCAGACGCGCGCATCGTCTATTTTGTGGCTGATGTTTGCTGTTTCAATTGGGTGTCAAGTTCGAGCCTCAGGGCTGCGCATTCATCGGTGTGCTCGTTCCTCGGAATTGCGTCCGCGGTATTATTTCTGGCAAATATGACCGGTGCGACGTTTGTTTAAAATGTCGAAGAAAATGCGCAAATGTGTCTATTGTTTGATTGGTAGATGCAAGGGAACAAGTCGTGGTTTGTGGTTTGTGGTCAGTAGCTACGGTACAAGCTGACGTGACATTTGGCTGCTTGGCTGCTTGGCTGTCCACCCTAGTACGCACTGTGGATCTACTGCTACTTAGAAGCACCACAACCCGAAAATCGGTTCAACAGTGCAGAGTATACATGTGATGGACTTCTGGACGCACGCTGTTCTCTGCTTGGTCAATTTAATTGGAATTTGTGTAATCAGAACTGTGCCTGTAGCTCCAACAGTGATTACAATCGTGCATAAGAATATGCTTCTATGGATACAACAGTAAAAATCGCTGTCAACAATCCCCATACGCCGGAAATGCAAGGCTCGAGGGCCGCCTAAGCCCTGAGTCGTGTGTCACAAGAACGCCACTGAAGTGACGTCGTAGTAGAGCGCATCGCAGTATCTCACAGGAGACTCGCGAGTCTTGTGTCTGGCGCGCATCCATGTTGAATGCCAGACAATAGCCCAACAAGATAAACAGAAAAGAACAAAGTTGTGCTAGTATGTTCGCCAGGAATAGTTTTAGTGCAGCTTAGCAGCATCTTGCGCGCGCTTGTTGGCGATCTGCTTGTCCTTGGGAATGGTGAGCGCGTTGATGCCCAGGAAGTTGCAGATAGCGTTGACGACGATAAAGGCCCAGCGGAAGTATAGGACAGTGGCAAAGATAAAGTAAGCCCAGAGGTAGTAAGCCTCCAGAGTAGCACTGAGCTGAGGGAATCCAATTCGAGGTAGGTTGGCGAGAACAGCACCGCCGACTAAGGGCCAGAGCATGGCAGTCCAGTAAGGGAATGGCTGGCGCGTCAAGTGCGCCAGAATCATCTTAGTAGTCAAACGGCCAAAGACAAACGACATGGTGCAGCAGAACAAGATGAGGTGGTCCTCACTCATGAGTGTGCTGTAAGGCGAGCCGAGCCAAGCGACGATTGTGACTGAAAATACGGTCATGGGCGCAAGCTCAAGGAAGACGGGGGCGACAGGCAGTCCCTGCTTGCGGCGAGCATCAATGACGTTGAGAACGCAAAATGGGATGTGGGTTCCGAGTAGCGAAATAGCAACGAGGGGAACCCAAATGTCGCGGACGGATGTGTCACCAAGCATATCGGCAAGACCAGGCAGGCTGCCGCCCAGAATACCGGCCATGGGCTGGCTCCAGAGATCGGGGCCCCAGATACCCGAGGTGACCATGATACCGCAAGCAATAAGTAGACCCTCTGTAGGGCCATTGATGAATCCAAGAAAGAGGGTGTGGGTGTGGTATGTTTCCCAAGTTGAGAAGAACATGGCGACACAAGGGCAGAGCGCAGTGAAGACACCTGCGGGCGAGGTGCCCAGAGCCATGGCGGCGACCTGGAAAAGACTGGCGAGTGTACAATTGAGCGAGTCGATTCCGTGGTCAAAAAGTTCGCCGAGACCGCTCGAGGTGCCGGTTCTGCGGGCTTGCTTGCCGTCGACGTTGTCCATGGTCTGGTACATGAAGAGGCCAGCGGCCAGACTAAAGTATACCCAGGAAGGGCCCTCGAGGGGTGTCAGAGGTCGACTGAAAGAGCGGGAGGGTTTCTTTCTTGACTTACAGGGCCGATCAGATCAGGGATATAAATAACCAGTAGCGCGACATTGGCCAAGATGAAGAAGAACCCAACCAAGGTCACCATGTTGGGAGCCATCCATAGCGGCAAGAGGGTGACGAAAAAGTTCCACTACGGCAGAGTTGTGTTAGCTTTCAAGTTGGCTTTGGCAGTCGGTGGCATTGGCTAGTGTATTGCGCGGTAGAACTTTGCGCAAGGCTGCGAATCGAGCGGAGGGGGCTTTGGAAGGTGCGTGTAGGTGATCGGGGGTGGAAGCCGGGCGGCGGCAGGAGAGGCGGGATATCGTACCCAGGGACCGAGAATGTACTTGGACACGGGCGACTTGTCGACGCTAGAGTACTTGTAGGACTTGAGATGAATGAGAGCATCGTCCGAAATGCACTCGATTTGAGCCTTTTCTGCAAGGCAGTCAGCGAAGTGTCCCACGTGCGCCTAGATAGGTAGGCAAGCAGAGGGAGAGAGCTCCAAGCTCCGGCCCCGGGGGGAGGTAGGTGGCAAAGCAGAAAAGGGGATTGTCGTCTCATGACGGGGGGAAGACGGGGAGAAAACAAACATACTGGTGTTGGGAACCATGTTGTCTTGGCCTTGGCCAGCAGTGTTCTCGTGGAATAGTGGTAGCGTCTCGTCAGCCGACGACATGATGGGTAGCTATGGGAAGACAAGGCGGGGGGGGCTGGGCGAGGAGAGGGTATAAAAGAATCTGCGAGACAGCTGGCGTGCGTGCGTGCCACTGACTGCAAGGGCAGGAAAAAAAGAGCGGGCGCGAGGCGTCAGTCGTTTAGGCAAGTCTTGGTTGCAGAAGTCGGGGAGCCAGTGAGCCAGTGCAGATTGTTGAGGAAACCAACATGTGCGTGGAGGGCGAGTCGATTCGCTGTGCAAGATTTGGGCGGGTGCATGAGGCCCATCCATGCATGTACGCTAACTCGTCTTTGGCCTGGCCAGAAAATTAAAATAATTGCCTGAAGAAAGGGCGAGTTTCTTATTCGACAAACTGAAGATTAGGTAGGTACCTAACTAAGGTACCCCGGTACGGATACCTCTGGTGTACATAGGGGCCTCTGGTGTACATAGGGGCCTCTGGTGTACATAGGGGCGGTTGCTGCCAGTGCCACCTGGGAGCCTCGGGAATGGCGCGAATGGCGCTGGTTACAGGCTGCGCGTGGCGCACCAGCGGTACCAATACCTTCCATGGTTAACAGCTGACAAGCCTGAGTAGAGGTATGTAGGTACCTCCGGCGCTACAATTCCACTAGACGAGACACGTGAAGCTCTGAGCGGCCACCAGACAGCCGACCTATCAACAGGGGCAAGATGAAAGGGACAAGATGTGTTTCGTTGCAATTTGAATATGCATTCGTTGACTTGCCGTTTCTCACTCTTCGTTTCACTTTACGTGTGCTTAATAAGAGCTTTTCTCTACCTCACTTCAGCCTCTTGCCTATCATTCGTAACCCCTCCCCATCGGCTAACTGCCTCTTGTACAGTGGTCGCCTGCAGCCGCTAAGCCAGACCGCTGGTCAGGAACCGAGGAACAGCACGAGACAGTGGAGCATGTGCTTTGAGGCGTGTTCTTTGCAGGGAACTCTTGCAGCAGTTGATCAAGTCTCATAGCGTGAGCAGGTGATGATGCAGCAGGCTACAAGCCCTCATACATTAGCGCAAATATTGAGAAGAAAAAGGAAAGAAAAAAAAGAGGCAGAGTAAGATGGAGAAACAGCCAAATCCCGTTCCCTCTCAAAACCACCAAAACGGTTGCTGCAATTCGTTGGCTGCAAGCTTCACATCACACCGCATCTCACGCTTCCCACACATGTACGTCACTGGTCTCGACATTTGGAACCCGCCACCGGCAAAGAATGATGAACCCTTGACACCCCCGAGACGAAAGCCCGCCCAAACCACTTTAGCATTATCCATCTTCATACCTACCTATGCTTTTGCCCAAGCCCATGTCGACCCCAACAATTCTCTTTCCCCGCCTACATGGACACCTTCCCCCGCCGGCTTGCACGCCCGCCTCCCGTGTCGACCGATACATATCTTCCTCTTCCCCTCCCCGCCCTCGTCAGGAACCCTAAAGTGTCGTGTGACAAAACGCCACTGCAGTCGCCACCATACGCTTTGCGTTCGCTAGCCCGCTGAGCTGTGTGGCCTAGCTCGATTGACGTTGCATCATGCCCCGAAAAATGTCACCAGTGCAGGTAGGGTAGCAAGTAGACAGGCCGCGCCGTTGGGCTTCAGTGGCTTCAGTCGATGCCAGCCAGCATTGCCTCGGCGAGTGGGTGGCTCTTGTCGATCAATCAAGGGCTCTTCCGTCCAATATGAGTGCTTGTGTACTGGGCCGAGATCTTCCAGAGCTCATCACTGCCACGATTAACCAACCACCTTGATCGTCCATCCCAAGTTGCCCGTGACTACCTAGGTAGTTAGTAGCATCTTCCCCACTTCCCCTTCACTCACACACAGGTCCCAACCCATGATTCACTCACATGTTCAGTAGCAATTCTTTCGCTGCGTGAAGTAGTATTATTAGTATTAGAGTTCGCTTCGCTTATATGTGTCCAGCTACCATCGCTCGAAAAAAAAAATTATAGATGCAAGCAAAGCCTTCACGCAGCCCAAGCCTTCCCTTGAGGCTCCCTCACAGCATGGTGAAGCCAGCAAACAGGCCGACAAACACTACAGCGAATCCATACGATCGGCCGGCTTCGAGAGCCGAGCCCGCGCCTGACTTCTTGCCCGACGACCCGTCGTTGGCCGAGCCGGGGGGGCCGGTGTAGATGCCATCGCTGCCCGTTTTGGCAGCCGTGGCCCCTTGTGATGATGTCGCAGAGGCGTTGTAGCGTTGGGGGTTGGTCGCACCACACGGGTGGTTCTGGAGGCAGTCAGATGCACACATGTTGTTGTTGTTGCACTTGTTGACGCACTGGCGACCCCATTCAGTGCACACGTAGTAGGGTATGCTCAGGCTGTATTCGGAGATGTTGGGCTGCTTGTTGTTGCCGCAGAGACAACCGTACATCAGGGTTTCCTAGGTCGGATTAGCATCAGGTTGTGGAATGCTGGGTCAGCCTCATGAGCCATCAGCTGTATCAGTAGACGTACAGGGTCGCAGTCGTTGACTAAAGTAGTGCGCGGCTCGGTTTGTTGACAGATCATGGGGCAAGTGAGCTTCTCATCACGACACCATCTGTCTAGCAGCAATCCATCAGCGGGAGTCATTGACGTCCAAGAAATATATGGCTCATTACCTCGGGTGGCAAAGGGCACTGTCTTCGGGTCAATCGTATAATCGGCCTGAGCGACTGTAGCAAGAGCCGCAGCGGCAACGAAGCCCGTTGTCTTGAATGAAACCATGGTTGGTTTTCGAGGTGGGAGAGGTCGTGGGACTGATGAGTCTGGAATCGGGAACGGAGAGATCAATGACAGTGTCGAGAAGGTTAGGATCGATTGAATAATCTAGACAAAATCAATTAAAATGAATTCACACAGTGTCTGCCGAGCGGCAGTGTCCCGAGGATGTGGATGGCTCTGGGTCTGCAGATGCAAACTTACTAAAAAGAGGGAGTCAAGAATGCAGCCGTTGAGCGTCGATGGAGAGCGAGTGTTATAGGTCGAAAGATGAATTAATACAGGACAAGGACAAGAGGAAGAATCGCCAACGAGAGAGACGAAACGAAGAATAGAAGATGGTCGAGAGGGAGAACAAGGAGGCTCTCGAGGGGCAACGACTAGTGAGAAGATGGACAGGCAGCCAAAGCAAAAAATGTGAGACTGGGATTGCCAGAGCCAGCCAGATTATATTCACCACCGCACGGAGGACAAGACCAGGCTCCCTCCATGCTCCCGTGTCACGCTATTTGTTCCAGCCCATGCTCACAATCGCGCAGGGTTGTCGTTGGCCGGTAGGGCCGCTGAAAACGAGATTCAGCCACGGCTATTATTGGGTGTGGGTGTCGCGCCGCTCCGGCACTACGATACGTCCGTATCTACCTACGCGAGTGGGGGGTGTTTTTTGACAGGGGTAGGGACACAGTGTGGGCAGCACGTCCTATTAAAACTAACAGCGTTATAATAGGGACTTTTAATATGTTAAAAAAAAAATCGTACTAGTTAAGAATCATATTAAAATATTATAATAGATTTTTTTAATTATAAAAATATAATATAGTATATATATCTTATATTAAAAATATATATATAAGAATAGCTATTAAAAATATACTTTATTAATACTTATAATATATTAAATTTATAGGCTATATTAAAATATATATAGTCTATTAGAAAATATCTATATAAGAATTTTAATAGCTATTAAATATATAAAATATTTTAGTAAGTATAGCTTATATAAGTTTTAATATAAGTTATCTATATTAAAATACTATTAATAAAGGTAGGTAGACTATAAAGATATATTTTATTAAGAAGTATATTATTAGGAGCTAATCTACTATTATAGGATATAAGCTACTTATTAATATCTATTCTTATTAATTTAATTCCTTTATTATAGTATAGCTTCTTTTTTCCTTTACTTACTACTTTAATTTCTTTTCTTAAGCTATATACTAAAGATCTCTTTTATTAAAACTAGCTTAGCTATAGATATTATATAAGTTTATATAGCCTTATAAAATTTATATAAAATTTATATAAGTATATTAATAGTAAAGAGTAATAAAACTCTATTAATTACCTAGCTTACTAAAATATTAGTAGCTTAAAAGGTATAAAAGAAAGAAAATACTAATAAGTACCTTTTTAGTAATAAGGAGTTACCTTTTATTTTATTATAATACTTACTATAGTATTAAAGAATATTAATATTCTAAACTTAAGGCTATACTTTAAAACTAGTACTAAAATACCTATTAAGATTTAAATATTAATATTAGTTAGTATTCTTTACTTTAAATCTATTTACTAATATACTAATACTAACTAGTAGATTATAAAGTATAGAATTATAAAAAAGTAAGTAAAAAGAGTATAATAAGAGTATATATTAATTTAATAATAATAAACTAACTATATAAGAAATATTAGATAGTATAGAAGTAATATAGAGTAAGTAGTAAGCTATATAATATATAAAGTAAACTTAAGTCTATATAGAGATTAGTAAGTAGTAATTATAAAGTAAGTATATATAAAGTACCTTCTTAATAAAGAGTAGTAAATATTTATTATAGGAAAAGATCTTAATATTATAAGACTAAAAGTAAGCTACCTAGAGAGATATAGGTAGTAAGTATATAGTATATATTAGGCATTACTCTTAAAGCTATATAAGCTAAGCTAGAGTATTATAGCCTATATCCTTCCTAGTTAGTCCTTATTTCCTAGTATATAAGAAAAGAGAATTATTACTTACTTATTATATATTAAGAGAAGATACCCTATTCTCTATATATTCTTACTTAGTATTAAAGTAATATATATTAGTAGTAGTATAAGTTGCCTAATTTTTAATTCTATTTATCTTATATTAGTACTAAGTATAATTCTCCTTATTAATAATAGGGAATACTATCCTTCTATACCTCTTTATAGGTAGTATCTCTTTAAGGTATATTTTTAATAATTATAATAGTAAAGTAAAAAGCTTAAGACTATTATAGTTTTCTTATAGCTATATAATAGAAATATAATTAATTAGTTATAAGTATTTTAAGGTAGTATTATATATTAATATAAAAGAATATCTACTAACTTACTAGGTGCCTTCTCTTAATACTATTAGTACTAGAAACTTATAGCTTATTATTTTATTAGTTTAGCTTTTATTTTTATTAGTACTAAGTAAATTATTTACTAAGTAGATATTCTAAAGAAGCTAAGCTTATATATTATTAAGCTCTTATTTAATATTATATTATAAAATAGCTAAGATTATTCTAGTTAGATCTTTTACTAGCCTTTCTTAATACTATTTAGATATTATTAAGTAAGTCTATACTATTAGAAAGAGTAGGTTAATCTATAACTATACCTTATAAATATATTAGTAGCTAATCTAGTACTATAAATACTAAGTTAAACTTATTTAGAATAGAAAGGCTTAGGTATATACCTAAAATATAACTAGTAATAATTAGAGAGTAGCCTAATAGCTAGTAGCTAGTATATACTTAATATAATTAGGTAAGGTAACCTGCTAGCTTAGTAAGCTTTAGAATCTCTCCTTATATATTATATTACTAATATTACTAAATAAGGCCTACTTAGATAGAGTAGGTATAGCTACTAATAAGCTAGGATAGTTAGAGGAGAGGGATATACTAAATAGGGTAGTAGATTATTATAAGAGCTACTATATTTAAGTAGCCTACTTTACCTTAAGATAGTCTTAATTAATACTTATATATTAATATCTATTAAAGAGGAAGAATAAGGTATTAAATAAGTATCTTATTATACTTTAAAGGTATATCCTTAATAACTAATAATATAGGTATCTTACTATACTAATAAGTATAGTATAAGTTATTTAAAAACCTATAATACCTAAAGCTATGTTTATAGCTAATCTAGCTAGCCTCTATCTTCTTTAAAGAAAATTTTTATACCTAGTAGGTTCTTTATTTATTATAGCTACTATATATATAGTATACCTATAGCTAGTAGTACCTAGTAGCTATATATAAAACTACTATACTTATGTTTTCTAATATATACTATTTATTACTACCCTAGAAGATTAATTTAATTATATTACTTACTTTTCTATTTTATAATTCTAGTATAGGAATATTATCTCTATTAAATAGATTTACTAAGTATTTAAAGTAGTGTTTTTTATAATATCTATATACCTTATTTATAGTATTACTTCTATATTATAAAGATAGGAAACTATATAGATTACTAGCCCTCTATATCTATACTATAGGTTATTATATTAAAAATATATATATACTTAAATCTACTCTATATACTATAGGCCTTAATATTTTTATCTTCTACTCCCTAAAGGAAATAAAGCTTTATAGGAATAAAAAGAAGCTACTTATCTAACTAGGGTACTATTTATACCTTATCTAGAGATATATTAACTAGCCTAATAATCTTAGTTCTATTCTCCTTCTTATATATTAGGACCTTTAAAATATCTTCCTTCTTACTATATAGATTATATAAAATTAAATCTAGGTATAGAAAAATATATTTTAAAGCTATATACTAGTAGATAAAGATACTAAGGATATAAGTAAACTAGGAGCTAATTATAATAATATTATTAATATTAAATATAATATATACTCTAGCCTTAAGAAAAGTAAGTATTAAAAGAAATAGAGTAAGATAAATAGAGAAACTTACCTAGTAGTAAAGGAGACTTTACTATACTACTATATACTATATTTTCCTAGGTTACTAATTATCTATATATTATAGCTTTTAAAATATATATAATATAGTTTAAATATAGTATAGTAGTTACTAATAAGGACCCTAGGGCTTTAAAGGCCTAGTAAATTTAACTTATCTCCTTTATATAGTAGGTACTAAATATAATATAAGATAGTAATTTTATAATAATCCCTAGCCTCTATAAGATCTTTACTTCTATCCTTATCTATTATCTTATCTAAGTATAGGTTTAGTGCTTTAATAAGCTATAGATACTTATTTTATATTTTATTAAAAATATCTTATACTACTAGGTGCTATAATCTAAAGTAGCTATTAAGTAAGAATAAAATAATAATATTATAGTTTTCTTAGTTAATTAATATTATAGTAGTATTATAAAAGTTTATTTAGAGGATATTAGCCTTAAACTATCTATATTATATATTAAAAATAAGCTATAGCCTAGAAAAAAGAAAACTTATTTATACTTAGCTTCCCTAAGTAAAGTAAAGACTTTATTATAGCCCCTATACTATATTATAACTTTAAATAAGTATAATCTAAAATATATATTAGGGAGCCCCTTTTAATCTACTATATTACTTAGCTTCTTATTTCCTTAGCTCTATTATACTATATTTACTTTAATAGAGCTACCTACTAAGGAAGCCTAGGTTTATTAATCCTTAATAAGTTAACTTAGAATAGAGGCTACTAGATATAGATATATAGTAGTATTTTATATACCTCTAGGTTTCTAATTTCTTTTAATAACTATAGAAAGATTAGTAAAGAGAAAAGAAAGCTTAGTAATATATACTAGGTATAGAAAAACTTACTATTCTATATCTTACTACTATTCTTAGCTACTTATTATAATAGCTAAAGAGTATAGTAGCTAGATTTAATAGTATCTTAAAAATCTATAGTTCTAGTATATAAAAACGGCCTATAAGTAGTCTATACTAACTATATAATAAGATAATATATAGTAG